AAGGAAATCCTGCAGTCCCTGACAAACGTCACCAGATATGAGAGGATCAGGAGGAAGATGCTTGTAGCCGGGGCGACCACAAGAACTACTGAGACCGTGTTAAGTCAACAGAGATGATTTACTGAACCTGTGGGGCCGTTTTTAAATTGGAGCATATAATAATCCGATATTGTAAGAGGAGCAACAACACACACAACAACTTTCAATTAGATCCTCTGTGTAGGGCTGCATAATTCACAATGTTACACAATTTTATATGGTCATGGTTTCAAGTGCAGACCAAGTAAAGATCCTGAAATTCAAATTTGGATCTCATCGACATCGTCTGCTATCCTGATATAAAAGCAGCGACATGTGCAAATTACGAAGGAGTCATCAGTGTCCAAACACGAGCAGGGAGGCCTGCTGTTACCTCTGCAAGAGATCTGAGCTACTCTTCCCTGCAGTAATTAGACAACATCGGTCTGGCCAGGGACCGAGAGAAACACATTGCATAATACTTCTTCTATCCTGTGTTAAATCAACAATGATCTGGCTTGTATAAGAACCTCCAAGGTTCTTATCCTGTTGAAGAGATCATAGGAGGAAGCAACTAATCACCTAGTAGTGCATCTAAGACAATAAATGGGTCTACTGACAACAACTTCCCCGTTTCCTGCAATACCTTTTCTCTCTCAATAGACAGGAATGCAATATATGTGGTCATAGAGGAAGGGACTAAAGGAAAAAAACTGTTCCTGGTGTTTATCTCAGATGAACCACCCAACTAGTCTGCAGTGTGTCTCTGACAGCAACAGCGGTTTGGGCTGACAACAGACGGGGGTGGCAAGGAGTAAATGCTAAAAGGTTCATGAGGTTTAAATGTTTTTTTCCCCTTTAAGATTTTGTAAATGCATACCCACAGTGTTCACCTCCTAAAAAAATGAACAAAATCAGCCAATTACCAACATTATAATACTAAGTTGCATAGAGCTTGGATATGAATTGTTATTTTTCAGCTTTTATAAAAAAAAGGAATTGAATGCTTTATACATTTTGCAACAATAAACCACTCAGACAAAGTATGTTCTATTAATATGTGAACGTACCACAAACAGAAGCAGGGATGGCAATTAATGATTTAAGGACAATTAAAAGCAGATGACGTTTAAAAACAACGCAGCATTCGATTCACACCGTCACTTCATGACACAACCGAAAGAGCTGCCACCATCAGCAACTTCAATTGAGACACCTGGTATATCAAACCTATGAAATCACAAATAATCCGAAAGAGGATTATTTTAAACAACTAATAAAAAGTGCATTTTCTACCTCACACTGAGTGTGTGTAGGCTTGTGTGTGTGTGTGTGTGTGTGTGTGTGTGTGATGACATTTCAAATACTGTCCTCGTGAAATACAAAGCAAGGCTGCTGATGTCTCAGCGTATGCACACAGACTACATGAGTGAGAGTGTAATTTTGTGGAGGGTGCTTGTGTTTATATTCGGAGGAAATGTTATGCATACCTCAGCAATGACAAAATAAGGCCTTATTCTGGCCTTGAGACCTTATAGCGTCCACTAAGGAGGATTATCTCTGCACAACTGTCTCACTCTCAGACACCGGAGGAGGCGTCCCAAACAAGGAGGAAAAGATGGATGTTTAAACAAGGAAAAAACTGTTTTCTTGTTTGGTTGTAGATATGTTTGACACATCTGTGGCAAGTTCAAGTCTGTAACCCTAACCCTCGACAGATATCAATGGAACAACAATAAAAACAAATATCCTATACCACATACTGATTCTAAGCAGGTACGTACTGTATATGTCGTCACACTGGAAAGTGACAAAGTCAAATGCTTGATTTTTGAGTGTGCTCTTGATGTACACAACTGTCCCACAATGCAATGCACAAGGGAAACAGAGGCCCATGTCACAGCTTGAACAGAAGATAAATGGCAAATAGCAGTGAGACGGCTCCAGAAAGACCCGGATAGAATGAAAAAAGAAGAAAACATCTTTGGAGAGACATTTAGCACTTTCTTTGTAGAGCTTAATCAGCAGCAGCGTAAAGTTTTCAAAGCAGACATTTTGACGTGTCACAGTAGGAAAAACACAGGTTGCGAATAACATAAACCGTCTGTTCTACTCAAGTACACCACGCCAGTGTGACAGCGTGTCATCATGCAAAACACCACAACCCTGAAACTGAAGTAGCTAAAAAATGACTGTAATGTCATGTAAATAAAATGTCACCATTACGTCAGAATTTACACCTGTTTTTCCTACCGTCTCATGTGAAAATATCCACTGCAACTGCAACAGTATACTATAAAGATTGGAATACAGTACGCAGTTTTAGTAAGAAATTATGGAATTGGGAAAAACATTTTGCATGAGTGATGGCCCTGTTACATTTACCAGTGACCCAGCATGCATCATACCAGAACCCTGAAACAATTACATGGAAAGCAGCCATCATTAATGTTGTTAATTACACCCGTCTTTGAGGAGTCATAATGTCTGCTTTGAAAAGTTCTATTGACTTGAGGCCCTCTGCAGGTGACATGAGACGCATACAATAAAAACTAATTGCCCTGTGCTAATACTTGTGACATTCATTTCTAGGATCTTTCTTTGCGAACCTCACTTAAGTTCAGTAAATACCTCCCTTCAAGAGCACACGGGCTATTTCTTATGCCAAAAGAGGCAATGTCAAAATAAGCTATTTTAATATTGCAATTTAGTATTGCACTTTCATGAAGTTGGGGAAACTAGAGGGTGACAGGTTTTTTTAAAAAATGGTTAAAACTGAAGCATCAGGGCTCACTGGAAATTCTGACTTTTAGTCCCTAATATGGGTAAAGCTCCAAACACTACATTCCCCATAATGCAACCAAAAGCATATTGATCAGATATTCTGTTCCTGTTAAAGGACACATCTCTCAAACTCCACACCTCCACTTTGTGTCGCAGGCTTTCAGTTATAAATGTTGCAGTCTCCAGGCTGAGATAGTACTGATGGAAACATCAAGCATTACTTCGTCAAACTTGATGAAGCTCATTCAGAGCCGCAGACATCACACAACAAGTTTAACATGCTGAGTAGTACTCCCCATGATGAGTGTACTGCCATGCAGTAAAGCAGCTGGTTACTGTCCCTAAAAATGGTGATCTGTTATTACATTACAGACTATTTGTCTTCACTGTAACCTCTTCTAGTTATCCTTTACCATATGATCCTATAGTATCCATCTTTACATCTGGTAGACATTCAGAGGCCTCTCATAGTGACATGAAGGCCTCTTCTGGTCAAGACCAGCTGACATGGTAAAGGACTTACCAACATGTTGTAGAGACATGCTGTTACAAATACATCTCTTGAACACACAGCTTTAGCCACAATTTCATTTTTGTGTTTATTTGTTGCCCAAATATTGAAAAACACCTCAATTGAAAATGGCAAGTCGAAACTTCTACAAGATATCCTGCCATAATTTAAAGACATTCAGTGCACTGCGCTGGGTCAGATTAAGAACAGGACTTTGACTTTGAGTGAAGCGTACCTTTTGATGAGTTTTATAAGTGAGTCGAGGGAAAACAGAGTGTGGGAGGATGGAAGATTAAAAAGGAGACGACGTAATTAGTGAAACCCTTCCTGCATAAGTGAGCCAATAGGCAATAGGCTCATGTTTGCTGCTGAAATTAATCATACAAAAAACAAACAGCTTGGATAGTGCATGACGTAAACTCCCTCTAGTCTCATACAGTAAATACCAACGTGCTGTCAAAGTCCAGCTACATCACTATGAGTTAATCTACTTCTAATGGTTTCAGAGCCCTTTTACAGCAGAGACAGACAAACACAATGACTGCACACTGTAGATTGTTATGCATGTATGATGATGACTGATGTAGATCATAGTTTGGATGGAAAGAGAGATGTTGGAAAAGTATATGAAACTTATTCCCACCCCTTGGTCCAGGTCTATGGAATACACTTGACAGTTGACAGAAATACACACAGCAACAAAGACTGAGAGCAAAAGGCTCGTCCTCCTTGTTGCTGCAGCCGGTGTTTATCGTGGTGACGTCATCTCCAGGGGGTGATGATAACCTGTCCTGGGACACCAGGGAGCAACTGAAGAGCCGAGTGGTGTGGGCACTGCTCAGATCAAAGCGTTCAACTTTCTAAATACGATGCAATCATTATACTCTTGACTCTAGAGACAGCCGATAGCATCCTAAATGCAAAGCGTGAGAATGCGTGTGTGGAATGCTCAGTCTCCATCAAGCTTCAAAGTCAAACTGATACAACACTTTGAAGTCAAGCTGCTTGACATCGCAAAGTCCAATGGATTTGACAGATCTTCAGCCAATAAAAAAAACCCAATGTATTTTGGTCATACATACTTTCTTTATCTATTAACCATAATTTACCCACCAAAAGTCCAATAATGTTACAAGAAAAAAAATGCAGTTTTTATATTTTGTACCATAAAATATACCACACAAGCCTTCAATACCCTGATATGCTCTGTTCAATGTCAGGCCACACCTCGCCACAGAGATATAAACCTCCAGCCTGAGAACCGAGGGTCATGAGTTCCACTTCCTGTACGGGAGCTAATAATAGCAGGTTCACCCAAAGAGGCATCTCAAGGCTTTTGTTTAAGAAGCAGCTTTTCAAGCGTGTCGTTTTCCAACAAATCAACATCCGAGCTGATTCTCTATCAGCCTCTACCGCCACAAGCGAAGTGTGCGCACACCGCTATAAAGACATGAGTGGATGCATAAGCATGCACGCTCAACATGCACTCACACACCATTATAACATTGTCAACGGCAGTCCCCTGTTTGAAGTCCAGTGAGCAGATATATTGTGGCTGTCACCAAAGGAACACAGCATAACACATTCAGCAGCGTCTCTCTCACAGAGCCAGCCGTATAAACAGACAGCAGTTAGTGTGATGATGTCAGGCCTCAGGAGGACCAGGGGAGTCAACTGGGTTTCTTACCTCGGAACTTCTTTGGAGGGTTGTTGAGGTCTCCAGCGTCAGGTTGGACGACACAGCGGTCATCCACCAAGCTGTGTATATAAAAACACATAATAATGTTTCAAAAGTCTGGGCATTTTATTTAACATCTTGTTAACATTCACGTATAAGTCGTTTAATTATATTAGACACATTAATTATAAAGTAAAGTTGTGCAAGTTATGATGTTTTTGTTATTTACTCTTGAGCTGAAACAACTAGTCGACAAAGAAAATAAAATAATCTTAATCTGTTCATTAGTCATTTTCTTTGGCAATAATGCTAAAGATTGTCAAATGTCTTTCTTTGTATTTCATGATAGTAAACTGAAATTTAAAGATATCACCTTGGCTTTGATTTTGGAAAACTGTGATGTGTGATAGACCAAACAATGAGTCAAGAAAGTAATATTCACAAAAGCAGAATATTCATAAATAACTGATTTTTACTGTAGTTGTACCCTAAATGACTCATCTCTGAGTCATTTTTTGATAATAATCCAATGTCAAAAATGTGATTTAACTAACAGCAATATAAAACAAAAAAAGAAATTGAAGAAAGTGGTGATCTAGTGGTGAATATTCAAAAAAGCTTCAAGTATTACTAAAACTACTAAATTGATCAATGATTTGATGAACAAATCAAATCAATCAATCAACCAACATTTTCATCAATGAAGCACCATTGAAAACATTTATGGAGATGTCTTGAGATTGTAATTTTACTTGGGTATATGAGCTACTGTATGCCACTGCATCTTTATAATCCCTGTGGGATTGTGTGCAGACTGGTTTGGGTGTGATCAACATGCAGTAGTAGTGGCCAAAGTATCCCAACAAAAGCTTCAGCATGTTCCAAACTCGACTCCTCTTTTACCGAGACCTCTTGCATAGCTGCAGAATAAATACTCCATTGATGCTCGACGCGATAATGAAATCGTTCTGGATTAGATGACCTGTGGGCAGGCGGGAATGTCTGGTAACAAATTTGACTTTTACTGGCTTAGAATAACACTTGGCTGGACACAGGCCAAATCCCACATCCATTTCAGGCCTTTTCCCGGGGAATGTCTGCAGTTGTCCAAACAGACCTGTCTACTGCTCCGGTCTCTACACCTCAAGGAACAAGGCTGCAGACTTGGATACAAAGTGAGAAAATATAAGAAACCAAACAGCATGTGTGTGCAGTCAACTGCATTAGCGGACTATGCACATCATTTTCTAATCCAGCTAGTACTTAACACCAGTCAAACAGGTCTTGTTGCAGGCTACAAAACAGGATTTTTAACATTTGTAACCTCACAGAGATCTCTCTCCAGTTACAAAACAGGAGCTTGGAGAGCTGCTCAGCTGGAGAAGTTATAGAGCTTTCTTTCTTCGAGGTGCCACGTGCCCATCAGGACCATCTAAACATACTGTACACATACCCATTCATACACCGCAAGCCTGGGGGAGCAATTTGGGGTTAAGTGTCTTGCCCAAGGACACATCGACATGGACTAGGCGAGGCGGGGATCGAACCGCCGATCCTCTGACCGAAGGACGACCCTGCTCTACCACTGAGCCCCCTATGTGCACTCGTATGTGTGAGTGTGTGTGTACGTGGGAAGCACAGGAACTTGAGAAAGGCCACAATGTCTCTAGTGTCTTTGCTGGAGGTCATTCCATAATTCATGAGCAGAGGGGGGGGGGGTCATGGACACTGAGCTGAGTCCTGATAGAGATGCTAGACACAATATACGGCACCTTAATATAAATATATTGTAGTTTCTACCAGCAATACATTAATGCACACTTTCTCTTACTGCGGTGTTTACATTTACAACATAAGAGGAAGTGCAACAAGTGCGAGTCTTTATGTTATATGTTAAGACCAATCAATCAATGCTCTAGGCCATGTATGTGATCAATATGCATCGTACATGTAAAAAATCAGAACTGCTTTTATTGTGTTTCAAATATGAGGTAGAAATAAAAACAACAACAACAACATTGCTGCGACTGTGTGGGTGATGGAGTGGCTTGTAAAAAGCGGTTAACCATTAGCATTGAGTATTGTACGCAGCACAAATCTGGTATTTTTCCTCCAAATCTGCCCTCCACACCCACTCCTGTCACACTCTCACAAACACACACACACACTTTATCATTAACTGGGCATTTATCACCCCTGTATTTCCTTTTCTCCCAACACTGTCAGTGGCGGGGTCAGCGATTGCCAAAAGCACCACTTCAAAAGGCCTCACACTGTTTCCACAGCTTTCTTCTAAGGGATAAAATGCAAACTTGCATCTATTTATCTCTCCTTAGCTTCTTAACCCCAACGCGTCACTGGTGGTGGGAAGGGATGCCCAAAATACATGCAAACGTTCATCAGGCACACACACAATCCAATGAAAATGCCATTTCTGATAGCACCAAAATGTAGTCATCGCTAAATCAAACTTTCTAAAAAAAAGAAAGAAAGTGAACTTGTGTGACTTCCTTCCTTCCAAATAGTGCTCTGCTTGCAGTATAGCAGAAAAGTGTGAGGCGGGCCCACACACACATAATGTTCGGCCAGCGAGAATGGACATACCCCAGGGTGCTGATGAAACCATTGGTGGATCCTTCTGCATACATGGAGCAGATGTCCCCGATGTGTAGGAAGCTGGACATCTTGTCCGACATCTTTGACACACACACACACACAGGGAACAACTACAGCAGAGGGAAGGAGAACAAATTAGTCACATAGTCCCAATGTCAGACAAGCGCTCATCACAAAAGTCTAAAAAGCAGCAGACGCATCCTTGCTTTGAAATCAGTTAAGATATTACCTGTAATATGTTTGTGATACTGATCTACAATTACATTTATTCAGCTTCAGATATGCAACACCATCGGTGGATTCTCATAATTACCTGTGACTACAACCAGTTTGCATTTATGAATATCCACACACATCTATGTAGCCACTGAGTTACCAGTGAGGTGGCAGTGCAATATTAAAAAAGAAAGGGTTCCCTGAGAGGTTGCGACAAAACACTAATACTACTCTCTACCTGCAAGAAGTTGCATAGAAGCCGCAGGGAAATTCTCTGATGCCACTGTTACCAGTTTGTGTTTTGGCTCAGGGCTGGACCTTAATGAGTAGGAGCTGCAGCTATACCAGGAAGGTGTGCGCACCTGCAACAGGTCATCTCCGCTGAAGCTGAGATGTGGGCGCTACAGGTCCACGACACTCAGGTTATCCGCTTGTTTCTGAGGCACTGCCTCTCACTGAGGTCGATAAAACTATTGGTGGGCGCGTAGTCTGTTGCACGCCTAAAATAATGGCGTAAATCACGTAATGGTCAACTATTACACAGAAGTGCACATCATCCTCACAAGCCCGTTTATCGGACCAATAAAACGCACATGAAACTTGAGTAAACGCGTCCAATGGTGGGCTGTCATTTGATTCGGCATCTGCAATCACACTGTTTCACAGTAATCCCAAATTATCATCGGACTCGTTTCCGTGATTGTTTTTTGGTCCCCGGTTGTGTAAACGACGACATGATGATGAGATGTGAGCATTTTGTTAACCATTTAAGGAGAGCGAACTAAACATGTTGCCCCCCCCCCCTCCGCTACGAGGGGAGACAGAAAGAGAGGATGGTAAACTTTAAACTTTACCTCGGTCGTGGGTATTCAGCTTTCTCTGGACGACATTGGCTCTCCTCTTCACCGCCGAGCCGGGGGGGAGATCCAGCCTTCTTCCGCAGCTGTAACAATCCAGTTATTTGTGTCAACTCTTTCACCTCCCCGCGGCCGTCGGAGCTCCGGGGCTGTGCTCGCTGAGGCGGGCAGCACACTGGCTCCTCGGCTGAGCTGCCTGGCTCGCTGCCACTTATTTTGCTCAAACAGCCGGAGCGTCGATAGCCGGGAAATGATGTCCATGTGGTCGCATCTCACCACCAGGGGAAACCACGACGTGTTATCACTCACACCGTGGAGCGTTGGTTTTTACGGTGCGAAAAACAAAAGTATTTTATTCGATATAAACGTTCAAACATACACCACTTGTTTTGTTTTGTTTTAACAATTACTTGAATAGTATTTTAAGGGAAGTTATTTTATTTATATCAAAATAGACATCTGCTATATTTACAATCCCTAAACATGATTTGCAATGTAACAATATTCTTTTAACAGAAATTAACAAATATTCACTTCGGGCAGGAAAGAGTTACATTGCACGCAGCTGACTGCCCACGTGACTTTGCGGAAGTGAGAGCATCAACAAAATGAGCAGCTCTTGAGCCGCGTCCTGCAACAATGGTGCGCTGTTTCGCTTTGTTTTTCGTCTTTACTTGTGTGAACAGAGTGTTGTATATTCGGGGTTCATGCGGGGCTCAGTCGGAGCCCACCGTCCCGCAGGGAGCAGCGGGCTGCGGCTGTGGGAACCTGAAGAGAGACGCTGCTCTGGAGCATGTGGAGGACAGGACAGCTTCCGCAGACCCTGATAACACATACTCAAGAGGCGCTAATGAAAGGTCGCCCGAGGCTCAGGGAGATGAAAAGAAAACGCAGAGTCAGGTAATCCATCGCTGCCGTCCGCTTGACTTTGTTGAACAGTTGACAGTAGAGCAGACATGGGACAAAGGTCCCTTCTGAGACTTTTTTGTTCTCAATTAATCACCAGGGGATCCTGAAATGGTGTTCAATATCATTGAAACCGCAACTGAAAGTTAAGGTACAAAGATGGATGATGATGACACCCTTTTGAGTCTGGGCAACATGACCATCACGATATAAGTCATTTCATATTTTGATATATATATATATATATATATATATATATAGCTAGCACGTTTTCTGGTAATTCAATAGTCTATATGAAATAACCACATGATAGAGCATACTGTATTTGTGTGCTCTCCAGTGTGAATTAAATACTTGACAAATAAAAAGTACTGAGTATTTGTGTGTTATTTGTTTATTAAGAACTTAAAATTAACAACCGCTTCAGAAAAACAATAATATTACCAGCTAATCACTGACTATGTTTACATGCATTAACACAAATACAGTAGTAGTACAGTAATCGCATTGAACCAATAATTATATTTAACTACACTGGGGTATTCCGATAAGCAGAATTCTTATCAAATCAGATTTTCTAAGAAATTTGAGTTGGTATGTGCTTGTTACTATCAATTTAGATGATGCAATTGTGTATGACAATATCTCCACATATGACTTCATCACGATCATTCTGCTGAAACACGATAATTCATCATATTGAATTAACGCCCAGTCATACTTTCAGACCACATTAGATAAACAAAACATGCATTTTCAAATCAAACTTGGAAAAAAAGGATTATCTGATTTCTTTAAATGTTGACATCTTACACATAAGGGACTCTCCAAACAAGTTCCCATTTCAGTCCGACAGCAGGCTGATTTAGTATCACCTGCCCCGCTCAACTGCCCTTAAACAAAGACGCTGAAACCGTCAGCTGCGCAGTTTTGCACTGCAAATCAGTTGTTCCAACTCTTCTCCACACAACACATTCTCAGCTGGCAAATACGAATATCCCTCTGGAGTTCTTCCTCATTCCAAGTGGGCCACTGGGATGCGAAATAACGACATATTTTGCAGCTGTGACACAGAGAACATCAGTAATAACTGCAGGCTCATTTCACGCTACTTAACTTGAATAGGAAGAGTTTAAAATCTGTGAACTTTTCTTTCAAGTCTACTATGGTAGTTCTATTTCCTTGCTCTCAGCATGAACTAGAAAAAGGACAATGTGCTTTATGCTACAGTGTCCTTCAACAAGCTCCTTCAATTAGATTGTTTTTTTTTGGCTTTGGTCGGAGAAGGTTAAGGTCATAATCTGGTCAAACTTGTGCAAAAAAAACAAGTTTATTTCTTCCATACAGATGGTGCTGGTTTCTGGAGGACAGTTCCTGATGGGAACGGACAATCCAGGCATCCCTGCAGATGGTGAGGGGCCTCAGAGGCTGGTGCATGTTGACTCCTTCTACATGGACATCCAGGAAGTCACTAACCAACAGTTCCAGAGCTTTGTAAATGCCACAGCATACATTACTGAGGTATGTATCTCAAGATTAAACCACAAGCTGTATTTTTGAATTCATTACAAATGTATTTAATCAATCAAACCAATTACTATGAAAGCAAATCTGCAGCAGTGTTTATTTCAGTGTCACAAGGTTAGTAGGCATCATTGCTCTAAATGTTTTTGACCTCATGCTTTCAGGCAGAGACATTTGGAGACTCATTCGTATTTGAGGGGATTTTGAGCAAGAGTGTGAAAAACCAAATCACCCAAGCAGTAAGTATAACAAATCAACTGTCGCCATACCTGTACAACTCACTTCCCACATGATTATTGGCCTCAGCCTTTTAGAGCCCTGGAGAGAGAGAGAGAGAGGGAGGGGGAGAGAGAGAGAGAGACTGTCTGTCTGTCTGTCACTTCTTTCCATTTATTTCCAAGCAATAAAATAGACGTTCCACAGTTGTGATGAAATGAGCCGTGTGAGGAGAAGAAAGGCGGTGTTTGTGTAATGTGTTTTTTTTAATTTATTTGAACATCTTTACAGTAATATTTGTGTACTAAGCACAGGAAAACCTGCCAGCCTGCGGTCGCACATTCTTTCGTCTTTATATAGACACAGGCCTCCCACAGACAAAAGCCAGACATCAGGGAACTTGCTGCTTCATCTCAGCTGTCATGTGCAGCCTGATCATGTGGCTGAGAAGGCGCTGTGTACCCATTAGTGTGGCAATACTGGAAACCATTACTATAATTGCAATTCTTTATGCCAAAGACAATTCTAGATGAACCCTGAATTATGTGTGTGAGAGAGAAAATGGAATGAAGAGTATGAAAGAAGCATAATATCAGTCAGTAACCATTGTTTATGTCACTTTGTTTTTAGGTGGCTGCTGCCCCCTGGTGGCTTCCAGTGAAAGGGGCCAACTGGAGACACCCTGATGGTCCAGACTCCAACATCACAAACATGTAGAAAGACACCACATATACGAGAAACTCCCAAATACCCAATTTTACCTGTTTTTTGTATTTATTGTCCCCCTGTTCGATAGTGTTTAAAACCTCATTATAAATAATACTTATATATGTGATATAAAGTAATAGTATTCTACACACGTTAAAACACTAAACACTTACCAGTCCTATATTGACAATGAAGACACAAAATATAAATACATACTTGCATATTAATTGACGCACTTAACCTCCTATACATCCAACAGGACAAACTTCCATCCAACACGTATCTGTCAAACTGAAAAACTACAAAATCAAACAAGCAAATATACTACTTAGGCCGCTGATTGGCTCCTGATATGCTCGTACACATGCTGTTGATGGGGCTTCTGTGCCTGTTTGTGGACTGCAAGTATTCTCAACACCCGCCACTGCAATTTTTCCAACATTTGTCTGTGAAACACTGGGAATTTGGCAGTGAAAAGACAAAACCTACTTGATTAGTCTAACTCCCAACTGCTGTAGTCAAAAGGCATTTTTACGCAGAACAACGGTAGATTTTGTTCCTCTTTTATTTTATTATGCCAGTTCTTTATTTTGGCAAAGCAAACTGATAAACCAAATACAAGCTCAGTCATTAACTTTCAACCTGTTTTTTGCAGCCTGGACCATCCTGTTCTACATGTGTCCTGGGCGGATGCAGTAGCCTACTGCTCCTGGGCCAACAGGAGACTTCCTACAGAGGCAGAATGGGAGTACGCCTGCAGGGGCGGCCTTAAAGACAGGCACGATATTTACTCATTATGTGACTGTAAAATACGCCATTGTGCTTGCGTATGTGCTGGGGTTTGTCACATGTCAATTGCCTGATATACTGCCCCTGTATGTAGACGTTACCCCTGGGGAAACAAGTTGAACCCTAAAGGACAACACTACGCCAACCTCTGGCAGGGGGATTTTCCCAACCACAACTCTGCGGAGGACGGATACATCAAAACTTCACCGGTGAGAAAATGAAAGATTGACAGATGTTTTTGTTATGGGTGTGTTAAAGGTGCATCGTGATTTAGGTTAGAGAGGAATTGGATGACTGATCATGAGCCATTGCCACACTAAATGATTTGTTTTTGTCAGTAAGTTCTTGGAAAGTTCCCTCAGAGTCACATGCTCATTCTGGCAAACACAAATACAGGTGAAGTCGTTTCCCGCCAATGCTTTTGGTCTGTATGATATGGCCGGGAATGCATGGGAATGGACATCAGACTGGTGGACTGTGCATCACACCACAGATCAACAACACAACCCAGTAAGAACCTCTGAAATACCTCTGAGCTTTTGAGTTGCCCATGTTTAATTTTTGTCCTGATATCTGATCATTTCTCTCTCTTTCAGATGGGTCCTCCGTCCGGCACAGACAAGGTGAAGAAGGGAGGCTCTTACATGTGCCACAAGGTAAAAAAAGACAACCACTATTATGCTCTATAGCTTTATACAAAAAAATCAAGATCAACATCTAAATTATTTAACATGAAATTGTCTACTTGCATATTTGAACTGGTAAAATAGCTCACTGGGTGGTTAGTTTTATGGGCAGTGAAGTCTTTTGTGATGTGAGTGGATCAGTGAAAACAAAATAGTTTTGGCTGGTTGTCCAAACCTGTTTCATAGCAAGTATTGGATCCAGTCAACAACAGCTCTGACATCAGCATTTCCAAAGGGAGAAGAAGAGCTCTCTATTGCTCTCTAATTGTTTGATTACAAAGGGGAAATACCGCCTCGCTCTTATTCTCTTTTCTTCTGGAATGTGCAGTCGTTTCTGTGCTCGTTCATACTCAGTCGCTGTTGTTCAGTGGCTCTGTTTGTTCTGGATTTAAGTGTGAAATGCAGAGGACAAGAAAACTCATGTTAATGCATATAGTATATTTACTTTATCTCTAAATCCATTGTAGCCGCCTACTGGTCATCATTTCAGTTTGCTTAACACAAGCATTGGTTGCCATGGGAATGTGACTGATTGGATGCAAAATAAGTCGCAGGCACATAGGTCTAGTTAGTTTCATATGAATAAACCATGAGAGGTAGGACAACAGTCAGCCAGGCTTAGTGAATGTGCACAAACGGGTGTAGGAGCAGGATGATCAAAGAAGAAATCAGAAATACTGTGCTGGCTGTATGATTGTTTTCCTTATGTGTTTTTTTTTTTAAGTATACTGTCACAAAGCAGTTTCCATTGCTGAGAAAATGAATTCCACAGTAAATGTCCCTGTTTCTCTCCCCCCTCCCTCTCCCCTCCTCCAGTCTTACTGTTACAGATACCGATGTGAAGCCCGTAGTCAGAACACTCCGGACAGCGCAGCCTCTAATCTTGGTTTCCGCTGTGTCTCTCAGGGTCAACAGTGACCTGAACCGGTCGTCTTAAACACAGGGTTCCAGTTGTTCTCTTACACCGGTGTTGGTTGTGGAGTAAACCAAGGACAGGAATTTAATATGTGCCATCTTACTGATGGGGAGTTGAAAATGTCTTCCATTCCAGCAGATATTGCCATAAATGTAAAATTGTATAACTTTTTTTTACCGAAGAAATTAATAGAAAAGGCAGTGTTTTTTTTCTACATCTGTTCTTTTTACGCCTTTGAGCACAGGTGGAGAGAGCACTGAATGACTCAGCATCTTGTAAATGTCAAAACAAATCGTTGCAAGCAGTTGTACAAGTTGTCATGATCAACAAAAAGGCTGGCCGAGCTACAGACTAAATTATTCTAATTTTTACAATCACTGATAAATCTGTGACAAATGGGATCCTAACCAATCCCATTCTTCTTTGTGTCTGTGTGTGTAATTGTGTGTTCTAATTAGTTAAGTTCCTGATTTTTCTTTCTTTCAAGATTTTAGTTTTACATTGTGTGTAATGTCTGTGGCCTGAACATGGCTTAATAAAAAGCATTTATTGGCTTAATGTGACTCAAATTTTACACTGAATTTGTGTGTGAAACTTTAGGTTTAGTTAATTGATGCGGAACCTCAAGGTGCTAGTTTGCTGTTACTCTGTTTTATCATTACTGACCTACAGTATATGACAACCATATAAAGGTTTATTATGTAGCTAAAGTGTAGCATCCACCAGAGGGCAGCACATCCTCTAATATCTATATATCTGTCTGCCTATTGGTCTCCAGAGTGAATGTACAGTATGTGTTTCGTTCCTACGCATATTGAGGAGTTAAGCCGACAGAGTATAAGCTCTGTCAGAAAGGATGATTCAGGGCAGTGAGCACTGTGACAGTGTGAAGCTCATTCAGACAGTTATGAGTTTTAAGTTCTTCAAAGACATGCGATTAAGACTCCAACTAACAACATGTATAACTGGGAAGTTAATAAAGACCAACTGTCTGCAAAAGAACCAAACGGTATTTATTGTAACTTCTTCAGTATACAGATCGCATGTGAAAATAATAAACTAAGCAATGAGCGAAAAAGTCTAGCAAAATAAGTGAGTAAACGGGGAAAGGGTCAGAAAGTTTCTAATGCACCTTAGTAAAAAGACTCAAAAATGTTTTAGCAAACATTTATATTTCTAGTATTAACATCACATTTATCAACTACTAATCCTATTCTCTTGCAATTTAAATCAGAAAGTTCAAAGGTATAGTTGATACAACATTACTGCACAATTGCTAACATTCAGTAGACAGTTTAACAAGTCTAAACCCCGCTGTCAGCTTTTAACTGAAGTTTATACAAACTCCATTATCTATCAGTGCACAACAGATTAACTGTTTTACAAAACAGAGAAAGAAACACTGATTGCTACTACTGCTGCAAGAAGACCATCGGCCCCTGCTGCTGTATTATTAACCCAAAAGAAAGAGTGTCAAAAATGCACCACGGAAACAACAGCATAGCAACTAAGACAAGCTGGAGGCTAAATACAGCTTCAATCGTGGAAAGTCCAAAACAATTAAAAGATAGAAAGAATCAAACAAAGGCGATACGCTATACTAATAAAAATCCAGTCCTTGATCACTCTGCCTCTAATTAGCAAAGCTAAGAATACAAAAAAAAACATTTGCAACTTCGACTTTTGCACCAAAATGGCAAAAGTGTGTCTTTAGTGCTGCTGGAGAGGCATCCAGGCCTCCTTACTGAGTCCTCACCACATGTAATAACTGCGTGTGGTGTCAACAGGAGAGGGTTTTCCTTCTGCACTGCAGTCTTTGTCCTTCTCCCCATCAACTTCCCACAGGTTGATGAGCGGGGGGTAAAGCTCGTTCAGGGGGATGGAGGACGTCTTCAGCATGTATTTCTTCAGAGAGTGGTGGTAGTTTTTTCTCTTCCATCTGCGAGCAACGTAGACGCCCACAGTGGCCAGGCTGAGGAAAGCCAGCATTGTCGCCATGACAGCCAGCACAGCCGCACTTGGGTGCTGGTCTGACAGGTCCAGGGAGAAGGTAGCGCCACGTGTTGTCACATTAACGCACGACTTGTGCGTCTGCAGGTGGACGTTGGAGACAGTGAGGCATACCTCATACTCTGTGGCAGGTTGAAGGTGTGTGAGGTTGTACTCATGGACGTCTACGGGGACCCGAGCTGTGTAGGTGATGTGCGGGTTGTCAATCTTCATGGTGGCTGAGGCCCACTTCAGGTTGGAGGACATGACATTAGAATTGATTTTCCAGGAGACCAGGATGGAGTGCGACTCGGTCTGCTTGACGTAGATTTTCATCACCTCGGCACTGTCGAGCAGCGTGCCGTTCACACGGATGGTGGCGACCCGTGTGTCAGCTCCTTCTGTGTTCTGGGCCACACAGGTGTAACGACCAGAATCCTCCACCTGAACATGAGACAGCCGCAGGGTCCCCTCATTGTTCAAGTGGTGCCGCTCTGAAACAGAGTCCGTTGTGATTTTGCTACCAAGAGGAGTCACCCAGTAGATCTCAGGCTCTGGCTCAGCCATGGCCCTGCAGTCGAGACTGACACTCGTGCCCAGCTCGAGGTTCAAGTGGCTCTGGAATGTGTTGTGGGATATGAGGGGCAGGCATTGCTCCGGGGACTCCAGCAGCCTTATCTCTCGAACCCGCTGGCCTCTGAGTTCCGGCGGGGAGGTGCAGAGCATGGCCAGGGGCTCCATGAAGCGTACTGTGGTCCTGTTAGAGCTCATCCACTGAATGACACAGTCGCAACGCAATGGGTTGCTATGCAGACTGATTTCCCGCAGATTAGGCAACGCCTCCACAGTGTGCTGGTAAAGAGCAGTGAGGGCATTATTGTTGAGCATCAGGCTCTCCAAAGAGGACATGTCCCGAAAAGCCAACCTATGCACATAAGACAGCTTAGGGTTGTTGGTGGCCTCCAGCTTTGTCAGCTCTGGTAGGTTGTCCAGAGCATAGCGGTCAAATGACACTAGCTCCAACATATTGTTGATGCCCAGCTCTTTCAGACGTAACATGTTCCTGAAATCTCCTTCCTGGATTTTGTGAACTGGATTCTTGTTCAAATCCAAGAATTTCAAATTGGGAACTCTTTGAAGGGCCAGTTGAGGGATTCTGACCAGTTTGTTGTCATAGAAAGAAATACTTTCAAGGCTATCCAAACCTACAAAAGCATTTGCTGGAACGTCAGTGAGGTCCATGCCAGCCAGGACCAGACTCCTCAGGCTTCCGAGAGGCTTAAAGTTCATGTCTAGGAGGCCAATAACTGGGTTCTCCCCGATCATGAGGATCTCAAGGTTAGGTGTTTCTTCAAACCAGCGGCTGTCTATGACATGGAGCCTGTTGGAGTTCAGATGAAGGCGCAGCAGGCTGCACATGCCTGCAAATGCCCGAGGGGAGATGGCGCTTATCTGGTTGTGGTTGATGTAAAGCTCTTGGAGATTGGAGAGGTTTCCGAGGCAGTGGTCTGGCAGCTGGCTAATCTGGTTCTCCTCCAGATGCAGGGTGGTCAAGTGGTTCATGCTTGTGAGGCCCACAGCTTCCACAGTGCTGAAATTGTTCTGGGATAGGTCCAACTCTGTCAAGTTGAACAGCGCCTCCAGCTCTCCGCTGGTGTGAGAGATGGCGTTACTTTGGAGCAGTAACACCTGAGTATCCGTGGATAGGTTGGTAGGGATGTGCATGAGCCTCAAGTCATTGCAATCCACCGTGGTTGCCTCCTTGTAGGTCGACTGGGGAGTGAACCAAGGGCGAATCTCGCAAACACACAAATGTGGACATTCTTTGCCATATACTGGTGCCAGAAAGGACAGAAAGAATCCCATACACAGCCAGAGTAGAGGAGGCCACGGCTGCGAACTGAGCGCCATCTTGTCTGCTCCTTCAGCTCACACGAAGCTTAGATGAGAGGTTCTTGAGAAAGGCTTGGAGGTAACGTTCAGGAGCATTAGTCTTCTTCACTGCCTGCTGAATTCTGTAGGCACTTTCCACAGTGGTGATTTCTAATCCAGGAGAAAGTTATTTGCAGAAGATCATCTGGTTCAAACTTGACCTCTGCTGATTGTCTTGTTTGTTCTCACTTCCTCACCTTGAGGTTTGAGCCTAAAGAAAGACAGAAAGCAAGTACAATGTTAAAGCCTGTAAATAATAAAGCCTGATTTGATTATCAGTTTGCAAAACCGTATTGAATAAGATGAACAGAAAAACAGCGGAATAGAGAGTGTGAAAATCTAAGAGCGACATATTTGGTTACCTTGGAAGGGTAACAAATGAGGCAAGTGGCAGTTTTCCACAGTGCCACCCCGCAGATATTTAGGGGACTAAGTTGACGTGTCCAACAGGGCAGAATATATCTGTCAAATTTGTCTTTTTGCCCTGCTCTTGTGTAGACATTCATTCCCTACCTTTTAATGTGCTCATACACAGCCAGATACAGTTTGAAAATAAGAATAAGTTTGAGAAAGAGTTACTTCTGAATCTTGACATACAGTGAAATTGAGTGAGGCCATGCATGCCAAAAAAAATCCTTTTAAACCATTATGCCGTTCGCTTGGCCATTCTCTGTATCATGAGTGAACATTTCTGGCACTGTTTCTTCATGTAAAGATAGCTATAATTTGGATATTCCATCACAAAAAATGTCAATTTACCTTAGAACACCATGAACTAGCGGATAAAGTGAAGCAAAGTTGTGGACTGTTTTTCTCATTATCTAAGATGATTGGGTTGATATTAGCTCTGCTTCCCTGATGTGTGTTGCATATCTGTCTCCTCAGAGATTACCAACATGTTTTGCGCTCTTGTGCCCGGTAGATTATCTCCATACCAGCTTGGTACCAGTGATCCTCTTGAACGAGTGTGTGGTGTAGGCACAGCCGGCAGCTCTGGCTGTGAGCCCATTACACAACAGGCTTAATAAACAGGGAGTGTGTGCTCTTCACTGTTAATCACTCACTACTTATGATACAGGCCCATAGGAAGCAGTCACACACATGTGAAATGAATTAAGCATTTTTTTAAGAGCCAAAGCTGGTACTGATTCATGCACACCGTACTATTCCAGGTTTGGTCAAAGTGAGACAAGCAGAGAGAGAGACTGGAGGGGACTGACAGGCTGGGCCCCCAAAGGGATCGTAATATTTTACGCTTTTGCTCTCTTTTTGTCGATTTCATGACACCAACTCCCAGAAACGTCTGTAGGGATGAAAGGTATTAACTCAGTTTTCACAAGAAGATAGGATATCATGAGCAATGGTGATGAAGAATCAGCCATGAATTTCTTTGAACAAACCCATAAATATATCCATGTATATTAAACTCTTATGTGATCAAAAAAAATATGTAATGACTAAACATTCCTGACCGTGCAGGCATGACTTTGTCAGCATGAGTGTGTGTGTGCAAGTGAGTAGTTGTGAGTGATGAGCGAGCTGTCAAAAGTGCCAATTATTAAAATAAACAACCAAAATGAAAATTCAGCTTCTTCTTTACATTCGCAAGAGAGAAAGACAGAGCGACTCTTGGCTTTCTCTC